CCTGAGGAGCCATGGGGACATCTAGCCTTTGGAAAGCACACAGGGCAGGTGTAGAAGACAAAACTCACTTTGGGAGGGCTTCTGCCCTCTTATTACCTGCCCTTAGACAAGTGTCAAACAATTGTGCTAGCAATTAGCTCTTTGTGCTAGTAGTCAAAACTGATATCTAGTGGTTTCCCGTATATCTGGGCTAACTACAATGTATCAGCATGGACTTAGTTGATGTCAAATCTTCAGATCCCTTCAGATCCCTCGGATAACCTTTAACCAAGATTCCTAAAACTCTAACTGCAGTCCTTACTTCTGTGGTCTCTGTCTTCTGTTTTCCACATAGTGTCACCTGTTATCACCAGCAAAGACCATCCCCTGAAGTTCCTATTGAGAGACAGGACTAGCTGGATTTCCTAGGCCTACTAAGAATTTCTAAGCCTAGGTGGGGAAGGTGACCGCACCCACCTTTAAACACGGGGCTTGTAACTCAGTTCACACCCGACCCATCAGGTAGTAAAGAGGGCTCACTAAAATACCAATTAGGCTAAAAACAGGAAGTAAAGAAATAGTCAGATCATCTATTGCCTGAGCGCACAGGGGGAGGGACAATGATGGGGGTATATACCCAGGCATTCGAACTGGCAGTGGCAACCCCCTTTGGGTCCCTTCCCATTGTATGGGAGCTCTGTTTTCACTATGAAATCTTGCAACTGCACACTCTTCTGGTCTGTGTTTATTCCAGCTCGAGCTGAGCTTTCACTCGCCGTCCACCACTGCTGATTGCTGCCGTCACAGACCCGCCTATGACTTCCACTCATCTGGATCCAGCAGGTTGTCTGCTGTGCTTCTGATCCAGCCCGGCGCCCATTGCTGCTCCGGATCGGGATACAGTCTCCCCGTTGTTCCTGCGCAGCAAAATGCCCTGGTTCATCCTAATCGAGCTGAACCCTAGTCGCTGGGCTCCACGGTTCTCTTCCGTGACCCACGGCTTCTAATAGAGCTATAACAGTCACTACACGGCCCAAGGTTCCATTCCTTGGAATCCCTGAGGCCAGAACTCCAGGTTAGAGTGCAAGAGGCTTGCCGCCATCTTGGGAGCAGCCCATCACCTTCTTGGGAGCTCTGGGAGCAAAGACCTGCCAGTAACACTATGACCCAAGGTTTTGTTTCCTATATGGGATGGAAGCAAGAAACATTTGGGGTAAGGCATAAAGATCTGTTTAGCTTAAACATGATAAGGTGTGAGTTGTAGCTAAATTTTCTAGAGTTTTCTTTAATAAACCATGGACAGAGGGGTTCCAATATTTATTCAATCTCATTTGAACCTGCTTGTATTTTCAGTCTTTGCAGGTACATCTGCCATTCATTCGTAGGCAGTAAAGTGTAGTAGTTGAGCGGTGTGGTACCAGAATCAGGCAGATCTAAGATGAAATTCTAACCCCACTGCATATTAGATGTACCATTATGGTTAGTTTCTTAGACTTGAGAGCCAGTTTTCTCATCTGTAAAATGGGTATAATAATAATTTTGAGGGGAATCAAATGAGAATTTATGTGATGTACTTAGCAATGCCTGGTGTGCCTAAAGCCCTAAGTAAATGGTAATTTTTATTCATTCAATTAAAAAAAAAGAAAAGAAAAAGACATGTATTGGGTATCTGCTGGGCTCATGGCATGTTGTAGGTACAAAATGTATCAAGACATTGGCCCTGTCCATAAAGAATTCACAGTCAGGGTTGGTGGAGGCAGGGAAGCTAAACACTTTTGTAATTTCAAGGTAGAAAGTAATAAAGGACAGAAAGATTATGGAAGGGAGAAGTCTTTGAGAACAGTCGTCTTTGAGTTGGGTCTTGTAGGATGTGAAGAATGTGGACAGGTAGAGTTGAGTGGGGATTAAACAACTGACATTCTGGAGAAAAGAAATAAAGCCTAAGAGAGGAATTAGACAGGAATGGTGAGGATATCTCAGCACCCAGCAAAGTTTGGCTTGTACATAGGGAGTAAAATGGACAGAAGTGGGAAGCTAGACCGAAAAAATGAGGGCATGTCAGAAAGGGAGTGCACACTGCTTGGAAATACCATGCGAAAGTATCTGGCCTTGGTTTGATGGGCTATTGAAGACTTTTGGAGAATGGAAGGAAGTAAAATCCCTTAGCTTGCTGTCTACTGTATGAAGTACTATCTTTCCTTCATTTATCCTAATTTTTTTGTTTATTTATGCTCTCTCAGGTTTTTGGAGCACTCTTAGTACTGGACAGTCTGAACATTAGTATGATGTAATCATGATGTGCTGGCTGGGAGAGGGACTAGCCTTAACTCCAGTGAGAAGAGGGAATGAAGCTCTAATAGGCTACATTAAATCTTCATTCCCTCTTCAAAGGAGAGCTGTTCACTTCCTTTCCACCTTGCAAATATTGATAATACTAAAATGCTTGCCTGAGTTTATTTGGAATTTGGCAAATGATCAACTCTTTCCTCTGGAGGGTGCCCCAATATTGAAACTTCAAATATCCTTGTTTGCATGACCTTTAGTTATTGAAAAAGTTTTCTTCATATTATTACTTTTACTATTACATATGATAATTGACCAATATAATAATATTGACCAGAATGATGGCTCTAGTTAGGAGGCCTAACAACAACCCAAATCCTTTTTCATTGACTTTACTGCAATTTGCTCTGCTTAAGAGATTTTGAAACAAAAGAGTGCCCCTGCTCTTGCATGCATAAAACCCTGCAGGTGAAAATGATGAGAAAAATTACTGGGCAAGGTATTAGGCAGGCACTGATTGTATCCTATTTAGAACTCTGCAATAAAAATATATATGTAATACTGAGGCTGGGTGCAGTGGCTCATGCTTGTAATCCCAAAACTTTGGGAGTCTGAAGCAGGAGGATTGCTTGAGCCCAGGAGTTTAATTAGCCTGGGCAACATGGCAAAACCTCACCTCTACAAAAAATAAGGCCGGGCGCAGTGGCTCATGCCTGTAATTCCAGCACTTTGGGAGGCCGAGGCAGGAGGATCACGAGGTCAAGAGATCAAGACCATCCTGGCCAACATGGTGAATGTTAAAAATACAATAGACACCCCATCTCTATTAAAAATACAAAATTAGCTGGGCATGGTGGCACGTGCCTGTAGTCCCAGCTACTCAGGAGGCCGAGGCAGGAGAATCGCTTGAATCCAGGAGGCAGAAGTTGCGGTGAGCTGAGATCGCACCACTGCACTCCAGCCTGGTGACAGAGCGAGACTCCGCCTCAAAACAAACAAAGAAAGAAACAAACAAAAATTAGTCAGGCATGGTGGTACACTCCCGTAGTTCCAGCTACTTGAGAGGCTGAGAGGTGGGAGGATCACTTTGGCCTGGGAGGTCAAGGCTGCGGTGAGCCATGATTGCACCACTGCACTCCAGCCTGGGTGACAGAGTGAGATCTTGTCCTAACATATACATGTATACACACACACACTGGTTTTAGCTAAATTGATTATAACTCAGGGACCGTCAGTTTAGGATGGATAGAGGTGCATTACATTGATTACTTTTGTTCCAGTGTTGACTTTTTTTTCTATATGAGTGATTCATTTAAATTTGGAGGATGGAATAAATTGCTATTAGTTTCCAGTCTAACTAGAATATCTGCAGCCACAGAGGACAAAGTACAAGGACTTATCAGAGAGGAGACAATGAAGCTCCATCCTCTGGAAAAAGGAAACAAGAGGCTGAGGGAATGAGATAGCTTCTAAGAAGGGAGCTTACAAAGGCCCCTCCTCCCCTGGCTCCTGCCCCATGGGCCAGGCTAATTTGCATTTCAATGAGGACTTAGTACTACTGAAGATTTTATGAAACGCCTAAGCTTCTCAAATGTTTGTTACTTTTGTTGCCCTAGCTGAAATCTGCAATTACCAGTATTTTTTTAAAATCCTAAAGTGAAGTGAAGAGGCCTGTGGGTGTTCATTCAAGGAGGGAGAGGGTCGAGTCCCAGTCCAGGAACTACTCTATGCTGGGAGAAACAGGCAGTACGGCACAGGTCGCGGTAGCCGAGAAAGAAAGCGAGAGAAAGGGTGAGCCGGGGAGTCACTGGGCCAGACACTGAAGTGTGCCTGTGTAGAATAACTGGCAGGAGGGCTGCATTTTCTGACCCCAGGAGGTAAAAGACGACGCCGTACTTGGCACTGAGTGCGGTGACCCGCAAGAGGAGCAAAAGTCATGACCCTCCGACCCCCAAGCCCCCGACTCAGCTGCCTCCACTCCACCCTACTCTTCTCAGACCCAGTCCAGAAAGCAGGCGGCGAGGCAGCTCTGAACCGGGCAAGGTTACTTCTCCAAATATCTCGGATCCAGAGAGGGGCAGGAATTCTCTAATCGTCGTCCCCTGCCTCTCCCTACAGCATCCGCCCCAGGCGCGGCAGAGCCAGCGGGAGCTGTCCGTGGTGCTGACTTCTGCCGTTGGTTGGGCCGGACCCGCCGCCCGCTGAGCGCGCTGCAGCCAAACAGGGGGCTCGTGTGGCGGGGGCGCGGGAGGCTGAGGGTCCTCAGGTCCGCAACCAGCGCCAGGCTTTGCTGTTAAATCCCAGCCCGAGCCCTGTAGCGTCTCTGCCCTCCGCAACCTGGCCGCTAGGCAGGACCCAGCGCTTAAGAACGGGTCTGTCGTGCCTCTCTCAAGCCCCCAGCTGCACTGTAATCTCCCACCGCTACTTCCTCCCCCGCTCCTTCCCTCCTAAGACTGCACCGGGTCCTCCCGATAGCCTGACGCTTCGCGCCTCTCCTCTGCCCTCCTCCACTGCGCGCTCCTCCGGAGCGTGACCCTCCAGGGGCCGTGCAAGCTCCTGCAGTCGAGATTCGTCCTCCTCGCTGCTCTGGCCAGGTTTGCCGGCCCCTCCTCCCGTTTCGGATCCCATCCTCCCCACACTGTCCTCTTCACTAGTTCTCTAAGCACCGAGCAGGGCAGAGCGCGCTCCACCCCCATTTTCCATACATGGGAGCTGGAGTGGGGGGCGGAGCTGAGGGGAGGCTCTCCCAGTCCCCTTCAGAAGCTGCTAGCCCACTGGGAACATTTGGATCCGTTCAGCTCCCGTGGAGAAGCGAGACCGGATCACCGACGTGGGCAGAGGACTGCCGGGGGCCAGCAGAAATTCTGCCCCTTCTTCCCGCGAGCGCTTTCCCGCCCTCCAAACCCCACTCCCAGGTAGGATCGCGCTCCTGGGTTTGCCTGCGTGGACTGCGAGGACCGTAAATAGAGGCGGAAGCGTTTAAATAAGCCGTGTGTTCTAACCGTGCTTAGGTTTATTTTACAGGGGTGGGAGGACAGCCCTTTTTGTTACTTTTGCTGTTGTTCTGTGGCCGGTAATTCCCAAGGGAGGACTCGGGCGATGGGGGAGGGGCGCGGCTGGTGTAAGAGGTCGGATGGAGAATGGGAAGGGAAGTGACGGACTTTGATTACCTTCGAACAGGTGGCCATGGCCTCATCGCCCACTCGGGGCCCCAGGGTTTCTGACTTATTTTCTGGGCTGCCGCCGGCGGTCACAACTCCCGCCAACCAGAGCGCAGAGGCCTCGGCGGGCAACGGGTCGGTGGCTGGCGCTGACGCTCCGGCCATCACGCCCTTCCAGAGCCTGCAGCTGGTGCATCAGCTGAAGGGGCTGATCGTGCTGCTCTACAGCGTCGTTGTGGTCGTGGGGCTGGTGGGCAACTGCCTGCTGGTGCTGGTGATCGCGCGGGTGCGCCGGCTGCACAACGTGACCAACTTCCTCATCGGTAACCTCGCCTTGTCCGACGTGCTCATGTGCGCCGCCTGCGTGCCGCTCACGCTGGCCTACGCCTTCGAGCCACGCGGCTGGGTGTTCGGCGGCGGCCTGTGCCACCTGGTCTTCTTCCTGCAGCCGGTCACCGTCTACGTGTCGGTGTTCACGCTCACCACCATCGCAGTAGACCGCTACGTCGTGCTGGTGCACCCGCTGCGGCGGCGCATCTCGCTGCGCCTCAGCGCCTACGCGGTGCTGGCCATCTGGGCGCTGTCCGCGGTGCTGGCGCTGCCTGCTGCCATGCACACTTATCACGTGGAGCTCAAGCCACACGACGTGCGCCTCTGCGAGGAGTTCTGGGGTTCCCAGGAGCGCCAGCGCCAGCTCTACGCCTGGGGGCTGCTGCTGGTCACCTATCTGCTCCCTCTGCTGGTCATCCTCCTCTCATACGTCCGGGTGTCCGTGAAGCTCCGCAACCGCGTGGTGCCCGGCTGCGTGACCCAGAGCCAGGCCGACTGGGACCGCGCGCGGCGCCGGCGCACCTTCTGCTTGCTGGTAGTGGTCGTGGTGGTGTTCGCCGTCTGCTGGCTGCCGCTACACATCTTCAACCTGCTGCGGGACCTCGACCCGCGCGCCATCGACCCCTACGCGTTTGGGCTGGTGCAGCTGCTCTGCCACTGGCTCGCCATGAGCTCGGCCTGCTACAACCCCTTCATCTACGCCTGGCTGCACGACAGCTTCCGCGAGGAGCTGCGCAAACTGTTGCTCGCTTGGCCACGCAAGATCGCGCCCCATGGCCAGAATATGACTGTCAGCGTGGTCATCTGATGCCACTTAGCCAGGCCTTGGTCAAGGAGCTGCATTTCCACTGGCCTCCGAGGGCACCACTCGAGGTCAACCTGGAGAGCTTATTCTCAGCACCAGAGCTAGCAAAGCCAACAGAGGGCAACATTTCCAGCCCAGCCCTCTTGTCCGGCTGTCTGTCTTGTCCTTGTGTCTTTGTAAAATGTTAAGTGGGCTTTGGTGAGAGTCTTGCTCTTTGCTTGGGGGTAAGCCAGAGAGAGGGAAGAGGATTTATTATTTCTTCTTTATGCCCTTGAAGGACAAACAAAAACTTTTTCTCCATGTTCAGAAAAGTATTTCAGAACCATGATTGCCTTCCTGGCATCCCCTCCTCCTGCTCATTGGTGAAATGCACAGTGTGAATGGGATTTAAAAGAAATGCGTTGGGCTTGGTAAAGATTTTCAGTTTGCCTTCAGAAAAAGGACTCAGCTGAGAGGATCCTGATATTGCTTAGTGCATTTGAACCCTTGCATTTCTAGAATTTCAGGTAAATATGTATTAAAAATCTACGTCTAGGATTTCAGCATTTCCTGAATAAGACCTTTATATGCCCAAAGGGTCCTTTTAAAACCACTTGAGTTTATAGTACAAAAACACCTACAAGCTCCCTTTAGAAAGGTCTTGCTTTTGTTTCTCCCCTTTCCTCCCCAACTACTATCTAAAAATTTTGAGACGAATTAGTCAATGAAGAGATAGATAAAAACAGATAAAGAGGAAAAGGTCCAATTCACTTAAGAGGGCATTTAATTGTACATAAGGACAGACATCCTCTGTGTATGTGTGTTTGTGTATGTGTGTGTACACATTCAGTGTTTGCCACAAAGTGGGCACTCAAATATTTGGTTTTCTGAATACTCAATGTAAACTGTGTGGCATGGCATTCTCTTGCAGTCTCTAATTGCTCACTTGCAACAGATCAACAGCTGTCATCTGACTGCTCAGCACCTGCTCTATAGTGATTCTTGGAACATGATCAACCCAGAAATCAAGAACCAGCAGAAGTTTACTTAAGGACAGAACAGAAGAATAAGCTACCATCCACATGCTGTGTAGATCAAACACTAATTACTTCCAGGGTTAAGGGAACAGGTGAAGACTGTGGAGCATGATACCAGGCTGATAATCATCACCTTAACCTCCTGTGAGTTCTGTAAATGAGGACAAGTGCCTTGGGACAAGGGTCTCCACACTGTTGGAACAGCAACTCGGGCAGTGAGGACAGGAGTCTTGGGAAATGATACATAATATCCAGCTGTCACATCAGCCTCTGTGTTCCCAGTAACTCAGTCACCATCCGTAAGGTTCAACTACTTTCCCAACTCACTGAACGCAAGAATCACTGTTTCCCTCCTCCTGCTTCTCTTATTCTCAGAAATAAGCTCATTCCTTCATTAAAATGTGCACTAAAAGGAAAGAGGGATGATACGGGAATGACAAGTGTTTAGTCCTATTACATTCATGTCAATAACCACGGTGGGAGTGGGAGTGATCACGGTTGGGCTGGTTAGCATAGGAGTCTTTAGTAGTTACTGGGCTAGACTTTTTGCACACAATAAAGGGTAGGAAAGGCTAGTTTGGGAGAAAGGAAAAGGCAGGCAAAGATGGTATGGAGGCTATCTCTGGCAATGGTGCTAAATGAACTTGAGCTTCATCCATGGATTGGAGAACAAAGAACCTGTGTGCTAACACTGCAGCCCATCCCGCCCCAGATGAGTTCATCTCCCAGGCATCCTGAGGATAGCTTCTCTGCTTCTAGCAGCTCTATTACTTGGGAGGCTCAGGGCCAGACATTTCCCATTCCCTTTGATTGCTTTGATGGTCATGTGTGGAGAGTGTAGGTGGTAGGGGGAAGGAGAGGGATTATTTGGGGAGGGATCTGATTCATTGTGGGCTCTTTGTTGGAAGGTTTGAATCACTGGTTCTCAGCCCTGGCTACTCCTAGAATCACCTGGGGAACTTTTTTTTTTAAATTGATGTCTGGGCCCTCCTCCTAAGAGTCTAATTGATTTGAGATGGTGCCTGGACACTAGCATTTTCCAAAGCACTTCAGGGGATTTTAATGTGAAACCAAAATTAAGCACCTTAAGAATTATCCTTTCTAGGCCCAGGAGTGGTGGCTCAGACCTGTAATCCCAGCACTTTGGGAGACCAAGGCAGGCAGATCACGAGGTCAGGAGTTTGAGACCAGCCTGACCAACATGGTGAAACCCCATCTCTACTAAAAATACAAAAATTAGCCGGGTGTGGCGGTGCACACCTGTAATCCCAGCTACTCAGGAGGCTGAGGCCGGAGGATTTCTTGAACCTGGGGAGGAAGAGGTTGCAGTGAGCTGAGATTGTGCCACTGTACTCCAACCTGGGTGACAGAGCAAGACTCCGTCTCGGGGTTGGGTGGGGGTGGGGGTGGGGAAATATCCTCTTTCTAATGAATCTTAGAAACGTCCGAATGAAGCTTTAGTTGCACCTGTGAAAGGTGTTAATAATTTGGAGTTGAATTGGATGGTGTTACATGTCATACTTAGAGAATACTCTTTTAGTCTTCAGATAATACCTGCTCAATCAGAGGCAAATTATTGAAATCCAAATATATAGGGATTCATTCAACAGTTTACTTACATATTTCTTTTGTATCAGTCCAATCAAGTCAGAAGGAATGTCATCATTCAACCTTAGTTCAATTGTATTTTAAATTTACATACCATGGCCTGGTACCATGGCTCACATCTGCAATTCCAAAACTTTGGGAGACTGAAGGGGGAGAATTGCTTGCACCCAGGAGTTCAAGACCAGTCTGGGAAATACGGCAAAACTCCATCTCTACAAAAAATAGCTGGACATAATGGTGCACACCTGCGGTCCCAGCTACTTGGGACGCCAAGGCAGGAGGATCACTGTAGCCTGGGAGGATCACTAGGCTGCAGTGAGCTGTCATTACACCACTGACTCCAGTCTCAGTGACAGAGCAAAACCTAGTCTCAAACAAACAAAAAACCAAAAATAATTTACATAGCATGAATTATTTTGAATCCTGGTTGTCAGGGTGTTAGAAAAAGTGCTCCCTGATTAGCTTAAGTTTATATCAACTATGAAGAACAAGCATCTCCATTAACTACTGGAAAAGTTGCCACTGGTTTCTGTCATGCCTACAACTTAAGTTTGAAACACTTACATGGACTTTATAAACAGTCTAAAGAGGTTGGAGAATTAGGTTGTGCTTATAAACATCTTTCTATATTATGAAAACTGGCAACTGAACAGCAATTCTCACAACATCTGGTATCTGTTTGGGACTAGTTTATAAATCAAACCAAATTTCAAAAAAATCAGAGGTGAGTCCCAGAGAGAACTGCATAGGATTGTAGGTAGAAAAATTTAATAATTCATTTTGGTTAATATCAAGCATCTAAGATGTATACATAGGGCTCTTCCTGCAAGGAGTAATATAGGCAGGCAAACTGGGAACTGAGCCAGTGGTACTTGGCAGCAGCCCTTCTCAAAGCTGATGGGAGGTTCTGTAATCCTCTTTGCAAGCATTGTCACCAGGTCTCACTTTTGGCAGCCATTCAATAGATTTATCTCACTAAACTGGCAGAAGAGCGTTTCAATGTATGCTCCAACAGCTACCTGGAAATAGCAATTGTGAGAGATGCTAAGGTAATGATTCCAATTCCTATAACCATCTGATTTTTTGTCCTTGTGAATTTTCAATCTGCTGTTTTACTGGGATAGCTAAGTTCCAGGTTTGTTTTTTCAGGTAGGCTAACCCACCACCTCTGTCCTGTGATTTCCTTCCTGAACATCTAGTAGTCTTTCAAATGCAAGGCACAAAACTAACCTCAAGAGTGTGGTTAGATCTGGGGTTGAACACAGGGCCTGTCCCCTCACAGACGAGAGGTCAGGAGCACCTTTGTTTCCCAAGGCAGGTTCTTGATTGATTTACCTCCCTGCGTTGATGTCTTTGCTGTGTAAAATGCACATGTTGCTGAATCACATGTGAAGCTCTACATGCTGGGGTTTATACTGTTTGACATTTTGTGGGAGCTCAATAAATACTAAATCAGCACAGTCTTCAGTCACGGGATTAATAAACCAAGCCAGTTATACACATGGGGTAACTCCACAACCTCAGGATAGCCAGAGTCAAAGCAAGGATAAATCATGTCAAGGAAAACAGGCTACTCCATCTAGATTTGTCAACTCCACCTTATTCCAGAAATGAACTGTTCATTCTGGGTCTTCTGTGACTCCCTGCCCCCAACCTCAGTAAGGCCAGCATTTAAATATATGGCATCAAGCTGTCTACTCCCCAAGACTGCATGTGCCTAAATCCATGGGTCCATCAAAATGAGAACTTCATGCCTAATTTCTATACCATCAAATATCAGTTATTTAAATGTTTGCATTTTATCACCCATTTCTCACATATAACTTGGGAAGGTCTAACATCCCACATGTGGGTCTATAAGCAAAATCATGAAGTTTCTAAAATGTTCATGATGGAGTCAAAGATTTTTCGGTACACCTAAAATACCATCTAAAAATGGACATATATATATACCTTTTCAGCGACTCACTTATCCTGCAAAGGAAACTAGTATACAGATGTGGGAAATGTAAAATATTTGGATGGATGAGAGTTACAATCTTGTTAAGACTGCACATTTTCCTACCAATCTTTGGAAGCAGAAAGTCTCATTTTGAAAACTGAACATGCACTCCTCTCACAGGTTTTTGAATTTTCTTTGCTTTTAACACAATTCCTCTCTTTCCCACACTTTATTTTTCATGCCTTTTTCTGCTACTTTTTCATATTATCTATATCTCCTCTCTGAAGCCCCTTCTGCCTCAGTGAAGGGGAACTGGTGGGATTCAAGCACCCATCTCCTGGTCAATCACTACAAAGTGAAAGATGATGGTGAGAACCCTGGCTAATTCCACTGCACAAGGCAGTCTGCACCGAGCTCCTACAAGGCTGCAGTGTGTTGTTATTTCCCACCCACTGTGGGTTCTCGGAGTTCACACAATTGGTCATTTTGCAGTGAAACTCCAGGCTCAGGTGGATAACAGGAGTTTGCACAGACTCTCCACAGGGCTGTCAACCTGATAAGTCTCACAGAGAGCTCTCCAGAGGAGCCTAACAATGAAAGGTCAAATGTGTTTCGTTTTTATGTTTGGTGCTGGAGTAAAGAAACTGGAGTCAAAAAAAAGCAAAGGAGAAACAGTCTCTGCTTTTAAGCATTCTCTGCCTCTCTGCCTCCCTCAGCTCTCACAATATCCTCTTCTTAACTTGCTGATGACTAAATCCCCTGGTCTCAGGACCCATCTCCTCCTTCTGAAATGACGTCCAATGAAAAATGGAAAGCTATATGGTGAAACTCCTTTTTGCTCCCCGCCCAGTTATTGCCAAGCAATGAAAACACTCTTTTGACCTGGAAAAATTAAGCAAAGACTCCAGGTTTGAGCTCTAGGTTAGCAGTCAGGCACTGGGCTTTCCTCCCTAGCCTATACCACAGTCCCTCTGGGGTCTTCTTCCTAGAAGGTTGGCCCACCACCTGGGTAGGAGGTGCAGTGCTGCATCATGATATGCCCTGGCAGTCAGATATGGTAGCCTGGCCACTGCCCGTATGCCCACAAGCAGGTTCCTGTGAGGAGACTGTCCTTCTGAAGCCACTGCCTTTTGCAGGGCAAATGCTAGGGGCACACTGACCTTAGAAAGAAGACCCAGGAGCAGCTACAGGTGGAAAACTGGAGCACTGGTAAGCACCTTCAATGGCAATAACTTTTTTTTTTGAGAC